TCAACATATTTTGATGTGTATTGGGGACACTCATAGCATCAATTTGCGCCGTTCCAATTTTCAGTCAGATGCCTGTGGTTCATGCTATTCCACAAAAAATAAATGACATTTAACAATTAGTTTAGAGGGAATTGGAGGAACCAAAGACGTCGGATTGAATATTGGAATGGTGTAAATTGATGCTATCAGTGCCCCCGATACACAAAAGAAATTTAGAAAACCTCTTTAGGATACTTTTTTTAGTATAATATTTACCATGTCGACAATTCATATTTTATGTCCATGATTTATATTGTTGGCTATATCATAAGTCCATATTCGCCTATGTTTTTTCTCAATTAGATATTTTATGTATGTCAGGATTTGAAAAAAAATAATTATGAATTTACTTCAAATAGGAAAATTTAGGAACATGCCTCTGGATCCTATTTTGATTTTAAACACGATGAAAGATGCAAAGTAAAATATATTTTAATCAAGAAAACACTTCATTTCAGCCAATAACCAATGTCTTAACAACCCCTGTCAGAACGGTGGAACCTGTGCTCAAGGTACTAATGGCTTTACATGCACGTGCCCGCCCTTCTATTCAGGAAATATATGCCAGACAGGTAAAAAATGTTACTATCTTTAAGCTAGTACGAGATTCTTAGACTAAACCCCCGCTTCTCTTTCTCTTTCCCTTACTTTCTTTGATATGTATTTTCTCAACAGGCTGAAGAATAAAAATAATCTGATTTCCAACTTACTTCCTACCCCAAGCATGTTCGTTCTGTTCCCCATTTTTCATATTCACATCATTTCCTATCCAATATAAATCACTCTCTATTTATTACCTTTAAAGATGGGTTTCTTTAATTTTTAGTGTCAAACTATTTGATTAATTGGTGTTCTAATGAATAATCATGTATTCTTAATCATATTATTATATTCTTATTGAGTTTTAACCATTCATAAATGTCCATGTATGTACAGTCTGGATAAACAAAAAAAAAAGACTTATTGACCTTTTCGATCGGTCACTCATTGCAATTCTGCTGGTTATTCTCTTCTAATTTTGATAATTATGAATTAATTATGGACATGTGAGACAAACTGGTATTTTTCCAAGTCATTAGAACACCTCTACTTTCTATTCATATAAGTATTAGCTTTTTTATTTTCATAAATAAAAATAAGGGAACCCATCTTTAAAGCTAGCGCAAAACTTAAAAAACAAACATTCCAAAAACATTATCAATTTAACAGCATGATTTCCAGTGATTCAGTTAAGGACCAATTCAAATCCAATTTATGTAAACAGTCTAATCTCTGTCACTATCATAATCATGTAGATGTATAAAAAAAATTCATGATAGCTTTAAAGGAATTGTATAGAATTTTCCTAGCTTTCATTCAGGGCCAATTATGACTTCTATTGGATCATTCCAAGTTTTCTGTATATCTGTGGAAATGCTTATGGCGTCTCTAGCACAGAAGCTGCAAATAATATCTGAGACTGTGCGATAACTACGTCATAAAACACTTATTGAAATTTCTATTGAAATTTCAATAAACAACGGACATTCGACTGAAACCAGAATGGTGCAAATCTATATTATAAGTGTCCCTGATACACATAACAAGAAAACCTCTTTACAATATCTTTGATTGTGTGTTGTTTTTCTTTCAGTGTCTCCGTGTCTGACTGGTAATCCATGTGCGAACGGAAGGTGTGTCCCAGAAACCGCATCGTCTTTATTCTCATGTGAATGTTTTAGTGGTTGGTCGGGATCTTTTTGTTCTGTGGGTAAGTGGCTCGTCTGGTTCTCGCTTTCTCGCTTTCTCCCTGTTCCCTTCATTACATATTCATACTATTCTTCAGTTGACCAAATCCTACCGTATATAATGGGATAAGTATAATTTCAGATATTTCAGTGGAAATTGTTTGAATGCTCTAGAAGACATGTACATGTATCTAAAGTTTATTCGTTATTTAGAATAAAAAAAAGCGCCCAGTCGTTCAAATGGGACATTAAACCAGATAAGGCCCGTGTGCTACACAGGTCGTTTAACTTTAAGATCCTTCAACAGTTGGAAATCGAAAAAGATTAGGCTATTGCGCATCTTGGCAAAATTTATCTCATTGCATATTGTTGAACGTCTTCATCAGTCAATTACAAGTGGTGAAGAGTAGGACGTAAACATCACTTAATATTTATATATCTAGATGTATCTGAAATAGCTTCTAATGAGAACCCTATTATGTTTTTATTACAGCTGTAAGCCCTTGTACGGACGTCAACTGCAACAACGGTGTCTGTAGACAGACTTCCCCCACTTCCTCTGTCTGTGACTGCTTCCCCAATTACACTGGTGACAGGTGTGACATTCTTCTTGGTGAGTTATTTTTTGATTATCCTTGAATATATGGTAACTAATTGACAACTTCTTGACAAATATTAAACAGATGATCGATGTTTCTGCGACAAATTTCTCCATATCCAGCATCTTAATATTTTGAATAGACGAGGGTGATCACTAGAAGTAATCGAAGCAGGATATAAGACGAAAAGCAAGAATAAACAAAAATGTTATAAATTTCTTTGCCAATAATTCTGTATGAATAGAGTCGTTAAAGAGATTACACGGAGTTTTTCTAAATATACACAAAGAAAAAAGTTAAGCACATCCTTAAACAAATCATGATAGTTTTACACCAGGTTTTAATAATTTAATAAATATAGGATTTTTGAAAAGTAAAATGTGCCTTTAATAAAGTGGAGTGAACAAATCATGACAAAATGCAGTATCTTTTGTCGCTTCTATTGGTTTAATTCTCTCATTCAAAATCGATCTTTACTCACACAAAGGGACATATGGCACGTAGACGCTTATCTGATGACACAAGATGGCAAATAATCGGTATGCACAATGCAGGAATGTCTTACAGTGCAATTGGACGGAATCTGGGTTATAATCACACTGTTATTTGTCGTCTGGTCAATAAACATCTTCAAACTGGCGCTGTGAAGGATCGACCCAGATCAGGAAGACCCCCAGTGACATCACAGAGAGAAGACAGGGACCTTCAGCGCCTTGTTCGTCGAGAACCCTTTGCAACGAGTTCTCGTCTGAAAAGCCCATGGCTGCCAAATCGTCGTTTCAGTCTAAGAACGCTCAGAAATCGGTTGAGAAGCACAGGAATGAAAGCCAGGAGGGTAATTAAACGCCCTTTGTTGACAGATCGCCACAAGGCAGCACGTTTAGCCTGGTGTATTGCTCGTCAGAACTGGAATATGAGGTCTTGGAGACGTGTTCATTGGTCAGATGAAAGTCGGTTCCTGCTCCATGTAACAGATGGCAGAACTAGAGTGTGGAGGCACCGAAACACAGCCTACACTCCTAGGAACATCAGACCAACAGTTCCATATGGTGGGGGGTCCGTCATGATATGGGGGTGTATCTCCCATGACTGGAAGTTGGATTTGGTCACCATCAGGGGTAACTTGACAGGACAACAGTACATCCGTGACGTGTTGCAACCGATTGTGGTTCCTCATTTTGACATCTTGCGAGTCGACCACAATTCATGGACGATAATGCTAGACCACATCGTTCACGAGCAGTCAACGATTTTATGAGGACCATTGCAATTACAACTTTACCATGGCCTGCTATGAGTCCGGATTTAAATCCAATAGAACATGTTTGGGATTTGGGCGACGAGTACGAGCACGTGAACCTCCTGTTCAAACTCTTCGGCAACTGGAAGCAGCACTGCATCAAGAATGGCGACAATTAACATTAGAAGAGGTTCGACGATTCACTGGAAACATGAGAAACAGGGTACATTGTGTCATTCAAGCACGCGGAGGTTACACACGTTATTGATGTTTTGAACTTTTAAGGTCAAAATGATAATGATATTGAACATTTCCAGTGCAAATTGTAACTCTTACCTCTATCTGTAAATCTGTAGCTCCATACTTTTTCATGTGTTAAAAATGTCAAAAATGAGTACCTCTCTGCCAATGTCATTTCCAATATTAAATCTCAAAGCAAATCTATCTCAAATGGTCTTCTTTGTTGTTAAATGTGCGATGGATCCGATGCAATTTGAAAAATTTAGTTACCAAGTTCGATTTCCGCTTAGTGCATCATATAATTTTGATTATGATGAAAAAACTGGGATGTGCTTAACTTTTTTCTTTGTGTATATCTTATGTGCATCAGGGACACTTATGTCATTGGTTTGCACCATTCCAATTTTCAGTCATCTGTAGCCTAAAAATCCACTACAACAAGAAACGTTTCATTACGTCACTATCGCTCATTAATTGATAATATTTTAGGCATTTGCGATAGTGATGCCATTAAACGCTTAAACGTGGCATTACAGAGGCCAAAGACATCTGATTGAAAAATGGAATGTTGCAAATCGATAATGTCATTGTTCCAAATACCCACAAAAAGAAAAAGACGACCGTCTAATCCCTTTAAATAAATTCAAGGTAAATTTTTATGCAAAAGAACGTTGTGCAAAATAATGCTGTGGAATCAAGTTGGTTTTGATTATTATTGGTATTATTATATTTTCATCCGGCTACAAATTGTGAATTGGCCAACTCTACCAACTAGTCTTCACATTAGTGAATTCTGCTTTACCATATGCCAGTGCCTTCTGTTTAATAGGAACGTTAAACCTTTCAACCACCTAATTACTATAATTTATGTTTCAGTTTCAAGCCCGTGTACAATCAACCCTTGTCAGAATGGCGGCGTCTGTAGCACTACTATTGGCAATAACTTTAGCTGTTCCTGTCCTTCAGACTTCTTTGGTACCAGATGTGAGAGTAAGTATACTTGGCATTTAAGGGATTTAAGGGAGGTACATAGCTTCTGTTTGCATCACCCTCTTTAATGAATGTGGTTTAAAACAAAGCATGACCAGATTATAGCGCCATTTTGCTAAGACCATATCATTCGTTTAAAACAAGACGTCACTCCTCAGTTATCATCATAGTTAGTTCAATAAAATACATTTAAAGAGCGTAAAATCAGTAGCTGTTAATTAAGTTTTTATGTCTTTGATAGATACCCAGTGTGATGTCAACCCGTGTCCATCTGGTCTCCCACTATGGGACTACCCAAACTGGAACGATACAGCATGCCAGAGATTTTACCGTTGTACTGCTGGGATTGTTACAGATCTGGTATGCCCCGCCGGTCAAGTTTTTAATCCATTAGGTGGATGTGAGACTGTTACGTCTGCAACATTGGCTCAAAACTTATGCTTAGCCTACCGTAATTCATTACTAGCCTAAGTGTGTCCATTTTTAATTTAAAATTATTTCTATCAATGTCTTCATATTTTTATTTCACTTCTGTATGTTTCTTATAATTTCAAATTTTTATTTCGCAAAATCTTGCCCTTACCCCAAATATTTAATCTGATAAAGAGGTTTTTCCCTACAGACGAAGACAAAGAAATTTTGTCAGGGTAGTTCATAAAAGACCAAACAATATCGTTTCAAGAATTTGAATCATTTGAAAAATAGTCATATTTGTTTTTAAAAACATTTATTTTTCAAAAATCCGAACAAAATGATAATTTTGAATTGTGTCCATTGTATTATTTAAAATTTAAATTTATCCAGTTTTCAATCTTGCCATGAATCCCTTTCAAAGCATAATATCTATTTATCTTTATATTGTGTACATGTTTATCTATTTAATTATCACGATTTGTACAAGTTTATAATTTTATAATGATCCTGGGTGTTCAAAATTGAAAATAAAATATTCCCCTTATTTTGCATGGTGTTTTTTTTATTCCTTGAATGGATAAATGAATGAATTACTGTAAGGTCATGTTTAGCCCTCTAGAACACCTGAAGTTACTTTGCACAATAATCGCATCGATTCTAATAATGATCCAGGTAGGTCGGTCAGTATCTATAGTAACTTAAACTGAGTAATGGTGGATGATATCGATATGCAAAGTAAGTTTTTAAAACGTTAACCACATTCATTACCGAATTTATTCATTCATTCATCTCATTCTTCTATTCTATCATTCAATTGCTCATCTTTTATTCATTCATATGCTCATTCATTCATTATTTGTCATGTAAACTCATGTATCCATTCATTTTTCAAACATTCATTTTTATTCTATTTCATTCTTTGACATTTTTCAAAGTTTTCATTAATTCAGTTTTATCATTCAATATTCTTATTATTTTTTGTAATCATACCCAGAAGACAATCGTGAGTTAAAATCTATTTTAATATCTATAAATACGAGAGTAAATCTATAGTCGTATCTTGTTGTTTAAAATAGTCCAATGTTGTCTTGTACACTCTTTAATACCTTTATATACGATATATTTCCTTAGCAATGCTTCATGATAGAAGCACCTGACCTCGGAGATGATGGTTTATGCTTAGAGGAATTGTCAAAAAATGTTGATATTGATTTGCATTGACGAAAGTGAACAACATATGTATATCTATCAATGGCATTCGTCAAAGACAGCATCCAATATTACAATACGATATACTCTGGTACCATTCAGAAGATCAAGTGTAGGACCATAGTTCTAAAGCTGTATGGTACAGCAATGCTCCTGGATGTATCATCGAAACATCGCATATTTGTATCTTTTTTTCATCTATTTATAAATGTTATTGTTTTAGCGTCAGACCCATGTGGAAGTTCGCCGTGTAAAAATGGAGGATTATGTTCTAGTTCTGATCTAAGTTTTAATTGTACCTGTCCTGAAGGTTATGCTGGTAGAATCTGTGAAAGTAAGTGTCCTCAATGTTCCTGATGCGAATGGGTGTCATTGTGGATATACATCTCTTCATTTTTTTAAAGATCGGTATCAAGGGGAGTGAGAAGCACAGAGTATGACATCCGTCTGCATTAAGCCCCAAACATAAGTTCGACCAATACAATTTTCTTGTCCTGTCCTATTCTAAGGAATATCGGACTAAATTCGCATATTTAGACTTGTTTCTAGAAATCAACGAAATATCCCCAAAAATGTCGATTTGTTATAATTTAAAGTGACAGTAAATCATAGAATGAATAGTAGGATATAAAGTGAACTACGATCCCATCTATTAATAGACAAAGATCAATGATTGTTTCCATTGTTATTGTCTATTCCAGATCAACAACCGTGTCCTGCTTACCCTTGTCCAGACACCGTATCATCATTCCGTTATCCAGACTGGAATAGTCTCAATTGTCAGGGCTACTATAGATGTACTGATGGAAGTTTAGTCCGAGAATTCTGCTCTGGAGCCACGTCAGCTTTCGACCCATTCACAATGGAATGTGAGGAACAGTCTCAAGATAACCTCTGTCTGGCCTATCAATTACAACAACAGTTAGGATTACCCACGTAATTTGACCGTTTCATGCTTATCGAATTATACTGTTTTGATATTTAAACTTTCGTCTAACCAATATCGCACAACAGGAAAATAATCTGTTTTTTGATCAAATTCTTGACCATCAGGATACTGTTTTTAATATTTACATTTAGTCTTATACATCTGGAGGATAATATCCTGTATATCTCTATTCCATTGCCAGCTTAGAAATGCAAATCATTGTAACTACCGGGGAGTTTTTTATTACTATTTTAAACAATAAACTTATTGTATAAGATACAGTTAAGCTACAAATCTGTCAAAATCTCGTGATAGAAATGTTTTTTTTCTATTCATTTAATTGTCACTATATGCGTATTTTCCTATCAGCAATATATGTTACTCTTGACTAAATTGTTTTTTGTGAAAACTTACGTACAATTTGGGCTAATAATAAGAAGTTTTTTTTTTACAATATACAACAATTTTTTAGTATTCGCATTATCTGATTGGTCATTTATCGCAATTTGTGTTTAATATTTAAAGATTATAGTGAAATATTCCCAGATGATAATCGTTAGATGTAAGTTAAGGGCTCTCACTAGTTTTGAATATTACCGAGATTACAATGTACAATATAAGAGTAAGATATCTAAGGGTTTATAAATACGTGGGTTTAACAGGAAAGCTTACCATAGAATATTAGTAGCATAATATACTTTCACTATTAATATAGAATACTACTCTTCGATAACTCTGGCATTCTGAATTGAATTTCATAAATACGCCCACATTTTAATGGAATATTTGGAAATAAATTCTTATTTGGGACTGATAATTCTTCAAATTGAATCAAATTCAAGAAAGATATAGTATCATTGTTGGTATTTACATCAATATAAAAACAAACGAAGTCTCTCCCTCTTATGGGTTTGTTATATCAATTCATACAGCAATCATCATCAAAATACAATTCAGAAACACCATAGTGATCAGACAGTAGTATTGTAAATATTGCATGAATTTTGTTGTGAAAATATTTGTATTAATTTTATCCCAGTGTTTGTAAATATTATTTTATGATTTTTTTTTATAATTTTTCATCTTTCTTACTTTGTAATTTAAACTTGTTTTGATTTTTCTAGAAGTTTATTTTATAGTTTTGTGGTGAAATCTTAATTTGGTTCTTTTGGGTTTACACAAAGGGTTTTAGCTGAAGAAATGAAAATAATAAAAGCTTAAGGATGTAAACCGTCGAAGATAAATATATATATATATAAAGTTGTGGGTAAATCTGTAACAGATCCATTTTATAAATCGTAAGGTCTCAAAACTTACAACAGAAGCTCGAGCGAAAGTTTTACTTCAATACACGGCATCTAATCACAAAAATAATTGATATAGTAGCCGGTGTCCGATTGTATTGAGCTGTTCGAGTCTACATGTATCTTCCCTGTACATTTATCGTGATTACTTTTAAATTACTTTCGTTTTTGCTTTGATTCCTTTTATTGTTAATTTAAGTATATATGATAATCGAGATAATAATCAAATTGAATATGGTTTCATCACTTTCCTATATGATAATCGAGATAACAATTAAATTAAGTATGTTTTCGTTACTTTCCTATATGATAATCGAGATAACAATTAAATTAAGTATGATTTCATTACTTTCCTATATGATAATCGAGATAACAATTAAATTAAGTATGATTTCATTACTTTCCTATATGATAATCGAGATAACAATTAAATTAAATATGGTTTCATTACTTTCCTATATGATAATCGAGATAACAATTAAATTAAGTATGATTTCGTTACTTTCCTATATGATAATCGAGATAACAATTAAATTAAGTATGGTTTCATTACTTTCCTATATGATAATCGACATAACAATTAAATTAAGTATGTTTTCGTTACTTTCCTATATGATAACCGAGACTACAATTAAATTAAATATGGTTTCATTACTTTCCTATATGATAATCGAGATGACAATTAAATTAAGTATGATTTCGTTACTTTCCTATATGATAATCGAGATAACAATTAAATTAAGTATGGTTTCATTACTTTCCTATATGATAATCGAGATAACAATTAAATTAAGTATGATTTCATTACTTTCCAATATGATAATCGAGATAACAATTAAATTAAGTATGGTTTCATTACTTTCCTATATGATAATCGAGATAACAATTAAATTAAGTATGATTTCGTTACTTTCCTATATGATAATCGAGATAACAATTAAATTAAATATGGTTTCATTACTTTCCTATATGATAATCGAGATAACAATTAAATTAAGTATGATTTCATTACTTTCCTATATGATAATCGAGATAACAATTAAATTAAGTATGATTTCGTTACTTTCCTATATGATAATCGAGATAACAATTAAATTAAGTATGATTTCGTTACTTTCCAATATGATAATCGAGATAACAATTAAATTAAGTATGATTTCATTACTTTCCTAAATGATAACCGAGACTACAAGGCAATTTGTCTCATTTTAACAGAAGCATAAAATACATTTTTTCTAGATAATTTATTTATATTTATGAATATTTGTATATAACTTGGGTTTTATAATGTTTATATATTTTTCATTTGTGTTTTGTTTTTTGGTTTTTTTTTGTGTCCAAGAGTTCGAGCTTTGTAAAAATGTAAATAAATTTGTCTGCAGTAAAAAAAAAATGTGTTTTTCAAAGTTACTTATTCTGCGCAAATTCATACTTCCGGAGGAACCCTTAAAGGAGCACCTTCACTATCCGTTCGACCAATCATACCTTAGTTTCAGAAACAGGAATTTTTTTAGCTTACATAATCAGTAATAGTGTTCACAGATCATCATCGAAATTTGAGCCTTCAAATCCATTATGTTTCCATTATTATCGAAAGTTGAAAATTCGACTTGAATTTTAGTGAGATTATGCCACATATAGGAAACACATATATTATATAAGAATAGACAGTAAAATTTCTAGTTTGAGGTATATTTGAAGGGATTATGCGATTTTCGTGCGTTTTAGTACTTGTTAAGACTTTTAAAGCACAATTAAGACCCAAATCAATCCCCGAAAATGCCGACTGTTCCAATTTAAAGAGTTCGGGCTGGCACCCGGAGGACTTTTGGAGATATTTTTGTAGGTCTGGTGTCAGTTTCGCAAAAAATCGTCCTATATTGGGAAGTCGGGTTTTAAAAATGCAAATTTCCAGGTTTTGTTTGGAAGACTTTTTGAAAAACAAGGTCCGAAAAACTGCTTGCCCTCACTGCTTGCATGAGCACTCGCTCAATAATCAACTCACGGAAACTAACAAACATTGGCGAACGCTAGCGAGTGGTCACCTTTCTTACTGGATATCTTGAAATATGACGAGAAGCATTTATCTCACAATTTTGTCATGACATAGCAACAAAGTTGAAAATTATTTGCACCTTGCTCTATTTACTAAATCTTCGGAGCATGACGAGGTGAGGAAATCTAATAAAAACGTGTTGGTGAAAACAGTGTTCTGAATCAGAAAACACATTTGATCGTGTTAATGTTTTGATTCAAACAGGATGTACCCTGTATCATAATTGATAATATATCGGGTGACCAAGAAACAACGATAACACTTTCCAATACAGGATTATCCATAACGCATCAAAGCTTAGATCATGATATATTACCCTCATCATTATAGAGTTATTACATATCTTTCACAAAACATTAGTTGAAACACTTTGAAATAGCAGCATTTCTTGTCAAAAAATGTAATCCCAAAAGTTATTATTGTAATTTCTCTAAAATTGTCAATCTGGACACTTTCGACACAAACAGTTCATAAAAAAGGTACACTCCAACATATATACATCAATCAGACAAAACTGAGCAATGAAACGTCAGCCACGGGATTCGGGATTCATTTATCTCAACAAATAGTCCCCTTATCCTGCTCCCCCATTTCAAATATTTACCCTTGAGAATGCATCCTGTCGGTGACGGAGATAGGCAAAAAAAGGCAAACGTCTCATTACTCGGACGTAAACCTAATAAATTTACATATGAAATAACACACTTCTTCAAAAGATTGCCTATGAAAATAAAATTACATGTACCTACATTTCGGGCTGAAAACCTCCAATGTTGGCCTACGGCCTACATTCAGATTTCAAAGAAATGATTTATTGTTTGAAATTTTCATTTAGCCAAAGACGATCTTAGACTCTTATTAGTATTTTGGGGTTGATATTTCAATTTAAACAGCAAATGATCGGCAAAATGCAGCTTGGGTTCACATTGTGGTCAGACAATTTCAATGGTTTTGATAATTTGTCTCCATGTCATGATTTGTCATCTGTCTGGGCACGTATATGGCCTATACCTATTATTAAGCATTGCGACTTCTTGACCACCTTATCAAATTACTAGTAAGACTTCTAAATTGAAGTTAACAAATGTTTTAATTGATTATATTAGAGTTTCTCGGACTAGACAGTAACAAACTAACTATAGACACTTTAATTTCAAAACAAACTAGCGCTCATCCTGTATAAGATACAGCCATCAAATCAGTGAGTTGGCTGAATTTTCCAAATCCGATGGTGTTCAATTTCTGTATTATTACCAAACACTGAACAATAACATAAGAATACTTCGGACTATCATAAAAACAAACATCAATATTTCATCTATTTGGCTGCGATTTGTGAATTCTTCTCCAAAAACGAGACAAAGACAAGCGTAAACAGAAATGATTTGACCCTAATCTAATCCTGACAACGACAAGAATCATTAAAAATAATTACAAAGCAACTTGTTCGTGCATGTGCATGTATAAAGAGAGCCCAAAAGAATACGCGTTTTGTGAAGCTAAACAGAGTGAGCTAGCAACTAACGCGTGATAATTCGAGATTTTATGTGATTTATCGCCATAACTGTTTTGTTGTTGTGTGTTAATCCAACAACTAGAAAAATGGTAAGTGAGCCTGGAATAAGATAATTTCAGGAATTATCAGTTGTATTTATTTAATGGCCATGCCTTTTGGCTTTGAATTAACGTAACCTTGATCGACATTGATCCATCCATTTGATTTTAGAACCCAATTTTTATGATGAAATGTGAACGTTGGAAAAAAGAAAGGAAACATTCATTGATTCAGAGAAACATGGATGAATGATCAGTTACTAAAAATACGTCTAATTTTTAAATTGAGATATCTGTTAATAATATGTGATTTCTCAATTAAGCAGAGATCCATTTCTCTGAAAAATGTATAACATTTTGACATAAGTGTTATCGGTATAAAACAGAGTTCGAGATCCTGAAATAGTGAGTGGGTGGGTGTGTGTTTGTTCCTTCCCATCACTGATATCATGCTCATACTATGTTTTTTTTTCTTATTCTAAAGACTATAATACTTGCTCAGCTCTTTTGACGCATGTCAATCAGATACAGTAAAAGATAGCCTACAGTCTAAGCAAAATAGGACAATCAAATGTCATTAAGTATATAACATCTTTCACTGATTCAATGGAACCTAATGACATAATCTTATATTCAGATAACAGTCTGCTAACCTGCGGGTCTTGGTGTAGATTTTATTAGCAGTAACCTTAGTCTCCAAATGCAGAAAAACATGGAACCAAATGTCAAAGGCCCTGTGGGTTCAGATCCAAAACATTTTTCATGTTTTGTCACATTGGGTGTTACTTTATAAAAATGAAAACCAAGATTGACAACTTCACTATTGAGAAGTAAAGAGAACCATAAAAAACTTCTAACATGTTGAATGCAGACTGTTGATAGCAATAGCAATCTATTATTTCTCTTTCAACAGTTCCAATATTATAATCTCTAAGTGACATTTAGAAGTAGATAGAACATTTTTGCAAAAATTAAAGGATGGAGTAGTATATCCATAATAGTGTTTCTTATTCTTTCAGGATGTCTTTTTGACAATTCGTCAGAAAAAGACAACAATTTTTACCGATGCCAAAGAATCAACTACTGTCAATGAGGTAAAGAAGATTATTGAAGGAATTTTAAAAGTGGCTCCAGAAAATCAAAAACTTTTTAAAGATGATCAGGTATGATTGAAGTTCATTAAGTTTCTATTCCTCATGGTGGTTAGAGGCAAGGTGTCAGTGTTATTTTTACTGTCCACATATTCTAGTATCAATAATAATTCTCTGTTCTTAATGTTTCCACATCTCTGTAATCTAAGGTATACGTTAAAGCAGCATCTATGTTCTATCTATGTGTCCTTTCACATTTCTTTGTAAAGACTCTAGAATTTAATTGGCATATTCCTCAAATATAGTTAATATTCAAATTGTTGGCTCTCTGCTAATAAACAACAGGTTATTGAAGTAATTTAGATTGCTTGTAATCCGAAATGGGAGGAATTCGTCACTTTTCAACTTCTTAATACTTCTTAAATAAGATAACAGAGTTATAACCCTTGACAGTTTTAAACATCTCTACGGGTATTAACGAAAGGATTGATAAGCTGGTTGTCTATCAGACAAATGAAATCTTTTTAGCTTTTTCTTGGGCCATGAAAACTTGTGTTGATAATACCAGTACTTAAAATAATTTTCAGCCTTTAACTGATGACAATAAAACATTGAGTGATTGCGGATTTACAAGTGCTACAGCTCGTGCCCAGCAACCAGCTACTATTGGTCTAGCAACTAGAAAGGATGGTAAGTATGCTATGCTTTAATCATCATACTGTGATATCTGCAACTTTCACGAAGGGTTGATTTCAACGAGTCAGCCAACCTACCTAATTTTCAGCGAACGTCCATTGATAGAAACAATGAATTATAGGATTGAAGGATTATTCTTATTGTACCCATTTACAGCTTGATTGATTGAGAATATATTGAGGTTGACTTGTGAGAAAATATGGCCTTGTCTTGAATAATGAAGGAAGATAACTCCCTCATGTCACCAGACTTTTAAATGTCGATTCATACACTATTTGTTCAATGTAACCAAATCTATCCTCAATTTCATGGTCAGTATAGGAAATAAATTTCAAATTGAATTTTATTTTCAGATGGTGAATTTGAAAATTTGGAGATAACGCCATTGTCTAATCCACCAGAACTGCCAGATGTCATGAAACCCCAAGAATCAACTTCCTCTCATGCCCAGGAGCAAGCTGCGTCTTAATTTATTATCTTAGTCTTATAACTCCATTCTATTAATCTGTATATTTGAAACAAAATATCCTCAATTCCTTTTTTTATCTGCAAATTGCACAAAGAGAACTCAAATTTTGTTGTTAGCTTCTGAGGCGTTGTTTGGTATTGTAGTAAATTTTTAAAGCATTATTGAAACATATTCAGGGTATGGTCACTCTCTAAATTTAAATGGGCAACTTTTATTTCTTTTCATTATTTAACTCTGGGGTCTTGTGGTAATCGCAAGAAATATCAAGGACATTATTGATATACAGGAATGTTACTTTGTATCTAACACATTTTATAATTCTTGAGCATTTTTGATTGTCAATGTAATTTGAATATTAATTTACATCAAACTTCTAAACATATGTTAAGTTTTTCCCACAAGATTTCAATGAAAATGTAGTAGTATTCTAACGATAATATGTCCTCAGAGTTGGCCCTGATAATAATTTCTCAGGCCTTTTCACAAAACAAAAGTTGTCAATGAATCTAGGAAGTTCTATAATCCTTATCATAATTTCTGGGGTCTATTCACAAAAACTTGTCTCAAGAAATACTATAATCTTATTGGTTAATTAACTAAATTTATAATTAATCTTAGTCGTTAACCATACAAGTTCAGATTTACAAGTTTTGGACCTCTATACATGTGATTGAATATATCAATGTAATGCAACAGTCAAAGATTTCTACTCAACAGTGGGAAATTAGTTATGAAAATTTTGAGTTCAGCTTCAATATCAAATGCTTAATGTTATTATTGAAAATAAAACAATGGGGCATAACATTGAAGTCATTCAGCTTTACTTAATTTTAAAACAACTTTCAAATTCATGCACCTAACTTTATCATTGTCATTCTGATTTTATTTCAAAGTCTTCAAATTCTCTGATTTTTTTTAATCTTGGTTAGTGACTGCTTATATTCATTAGCTTGCTTTGTTGGCAAAAATAAATTTGATTTCCTAGGCTGGATATAATATGCTGGTCATCAATTTTATCCCCTCATGTTTTATTAAACTCTTCCACACACATGTACTTTCTATTAATATGAAACTGTATTTGTACTATTGGAAGAGCTCAATTATAAATCTAGGGGTGTTTTTGCTGCCTGTTAATCTATATCCAGCCTTGGATATTTGCATAAATTTATGTCCAAGGTTGATATAAAATTGCCTTCGTTCAATTCCGCTCATATCAATTAGTTTGGGGCAGGTAGTCTTCTTTCTGTGAATTGTTTTTCAACAAGATTTTTTAGAGATCCTATTATTATTATAAATAAAGTGAAATTTGTTTTTATAAAAGCTGTCTTAGTTTTCTGTATCAAAAGATTTGCATCTTCTATGTAAGATTTGAACGATATATAGAAGCGAGGAGCACATATAACAAAACACAAGACAATATTATGGAATATAACACACTTCTTTAATAAGGTTAGGCACATAACGTTTAAACACATTATACACGTGTCAGCATCAGATGTATTATCTTGTTATATGCATCTTCTATGTTGTTCACTTTCAACTGTGGAGAACCTGGTTTGCTCATACTACCATCTGATAAGTAAGATTAAATGCAGCGATTTGATTGGATCACACGCCACTGGACTACGGTAGTGAACTCCAATCGGCTGTATTTGTTAGCTTCCAATCAAATTGCTGTATTAACGACCTTCCGTGATTAATAAAGGATGCTATTACCCTACAATCAAGTGAAAGAGGAAGTTTGTTAAAGTTTGACATTGTGAAGATTATCATGACCTTTAACCCTGTGTCAGTACGTATCTGTAGAATGGTTACTTGTTATTTTCAATTGGTTTATTCCCATCTTGGCAATTCATTCCAAATTCACCCTTACCTCCTAATTCCCATTTTTCATTGCACTTTTTCAAGGGACACAAATCAAAACAGACTTTGTTATATCCTCTTGTCTTTAGGTTATAATCAAATTAACAAGAAATAATAATAAGAGAAATAATGACAGAAGCAAATGAAGAGGAAGAGTAAGTTGAATACAGAAATATTCCAAATATATTAAAGGAATACTACGTCTTAGAATTAACATAAAATTTAAGAATTCTAAACTTGGCGAATAAAAGGCAGTAGATATTTAGTGATCTTATTTCAATTATAAGGTACAGTACAATAACAAAATAATTACACTGTTACAATATTGATCAATCCATCAATTTAAAAATATCAAAACAGAACCTGAAACATGTTACTTAGAGTTTGAGGATCTGTGTTAATATTTCTACTTTCAATGATATTGATTTAAATGAAGCAAATATTGAATTGTAACCACTAACCACTGAAGTCGTCTCATAATATAACACTTTCAATTCTTTTTGAACTTAAACAATACTCAAAAACTGGCTATAACTAAAATATTTGTTTTTTTTAAATCTTTTTTAATAACCTATATAAAACTTAAACAACATACTAAATAAACATTACCATGGATATTCCACGTCCTCTGTCCTGTGTTAGAAAGTTTTTTCACCAAAATCTTGTTAAACATTTGAAAATTTATTTCCATTTTCATTTCAGCAAAAAAATTGAAAAAAAAATATAAAGAAAGACTTAGATTTATCAGTTGAAATTATATGCCAGGACTGAATCAAACAATTGATAAATCCTTACATAAAATAAACAGTGGCAGCTTTAGAACCTCGAACTGGGAGAGGCCACGGCAAACTTTTTTTTTAATCCAACCTATGGAATCAACAGGAACAACTTTTGTAAGTACACAGTTTAAATACTGTATTTAATGCAATTTGAAAGAGTATTCTTTCACTATTGTTACATTTATACAATGAAAAAATGCTTATTTTCCACCAACAAATTTATAAATTTGAGCCTTTGGAGCCCAGTTCAATATATATTCTTTCTTTTCTTTTTTTTTTTCATTCATTCATTATATTGTCCCCATGGGTTGAATGTTAGACAGGACCATGTCCTTGTGTATTGGACCTAATTCTGACCCATGTAAAATAAAGAGTTAATTATTATCACAAGTAGTGGCAATGGATTTCAGCATTGGAATACATCAATTTGAAATAACCTTCTTCTGGAGAGATTTACAAGATAAATAAATAATTCCAATATGCAATATTATTGCTTTAAGGAGTTGATGAAAGGGAAAGTAATCTGCCATGGACAAAACCATTACTCAGACTTTTATATGTTTTATAAAGAGTGATCATAGATTTTGTAAAGGTGTTCATGAATTCATCTTCATAAAAGCGTTTGACAATCACAGAGGCATTTTAAATCTTCATACAGGCCTACTGTACATCAGTCCATCACACTGCACATGTAGTAGTGACCAACACTTCACTTGCCCTAATTACCAAACTATGAAAACTTCCATTATTATTTTTGAACAATGAGTGAAGGATGATAAATGGATTTAAAAGATGAAGCTTTAAGCACAATTGAATTAATTTAATGCAGCACTGTTCATTTGCAATGCTATTAGCATGATATCCAAATATGATGATTAAGCACTGTTTGTTTGTGATGCTGTTTGCAGGAGATATGGAACCATGATATTCAAATATGATGAAGCACTACGCTGTCTATCAAACACTTTCACTTAGTAAAATTATCCATATCTTTAGGTTTTTTGATCCAGGCTCCTATTTGACTGACTATAAAATGTTCATGTAAAGCCTGTTTAGCCTGTTGATAATGAACCGAGTTTCGTTTTGCCACCTCGTACGTGGGTACTTGTTCTAAAGACTGTTTTTGAGACATTCTGGCCATGTCTTTATGCCGAGATAGAAAGGCAGCTTTACATAATCTACTGGCCATCAGTTTACCAGATTTAAACGGAGATCTGAAATAGAAAAGAGTGTCTCTAGTCAAACGCACACTGATAAATCTTTTGAGGTAATATCTAGGATTTTTTAGCATCAACTATCTTATACTTGGCTACTGGGGGCCCCTCAAACACCCCCCCCCTATTAAGCTACAGGAATGCTGAAGTGAGGATATGATATGTTAACCCTACGTTACAACAAATTATTGGTATCACCTCCACAGGGCATCTTTCCATCACCATCAATGCCAGAGATATTCTCTGATCTAACCAAATTTTCTTGTAGGATGTGAAGGATCAAATCAGAGTGACTGAATTTAAGTCCATTGCAGTTTCTTAAAATTTCTAAATATGTTCGTTTTCCTGAGAGATCGAAATGACATGCTTGGAATCACCAGTTGTCAAGAACTACCTTCAGAGTAGTTCGTATCAAACTATATATAATCAAACTTACAATGGTGTAGTCTTTCCCGTGATTCCATCCGTGATTTCTATTTTATCATCAGCAGCTGACCAATTAACACTCAGCGAAGTGATGTGAACCCCGTTAGGGTACAGCTCCGCTAGGGGTATGGTTACGTTATAAAGACGAGGGTGGTTAATATGATAGGGAGGGGGCAAACTTTCAGTCAATACATCATACACACGACAACAAGCTGTTCTCGATAGATGACCATGATCAAACCCAGAACCTGAAATTAAATGATAAATTGTTGGTTACAAGTCAACCAAGGGCAATAAGTCAGTATTTCTTGATTAATAATCTTGAAACATGAACTTATCCAAGATCTAAAAACTTGCATCTTCAATTGCAATCAAAGCTGTAGCGTTATGGAGAACGACCAAACTATAGAAGTAGCAATTTTTTAAATTATGTATTTGAATTACACCCAGACCACTCTATTAAGCTGGATGGTGCTACTGCCTAGGCAATAATATTGTTATTATACAAACAAATTAAAGAGGCCTGAGAACAAAACAGTTTGCATGCATAACTTACATAAAGTATTTCTTAAGATTTTGTAATTATTATGAAATTATAAGCGTAAGAATGCTCTTTTGAATATTCTAGAATATTCTTAACAAATAATATATCCTACCCATAGTAATAGAGGTGATATAAATAGGCTCTATAAAATGGCTGTAAACTGCCCCCTGAATACCCAGTATATTCCAGGCTAGAAGTTTATCACTACCACTCATTATCAATAGATCTTCCCCCACCTCACCCTCTACCTGGAATTTCTCCACAGTTTGACCAACTTGCAGGCTTGGTTCCGCTTGACACAATACACCTGGAATTATAATAATATATACAAATAAATACAAGAGAAATACACATCACACATTCAATTATTGTCCAGTGGCTCACTTTAGCCAAATAGCTAAATAGATTCAAGCAAAGGCATAAGGTTTGAACAGGGTCAATTGTAGCTTCTATTTACACTATTCAAACCAAATTGTATACTATACATAAAAATAATCAAAGTTCATAAAAACTTCTATGTATAACATTGGCCATGGTATTTGTGATAATGCTATCTTCTTGATTCAATTGTTTTCACATAAAAAAATTAGAAACCCCCTTTATATCCCTTAACAACCAGTATGTGTTTCACTGCATGATGCTTACCATCTTCATTTTTAGTACAAAGCATCCCATGAGTCTCTTTTACAAAACAGGGAAAGTGGGCACCGATCTCCAACAACTCTTCCTCTTCTGGTTGAAGACGTGGGGAGGGGCTGAAATAAGACAAGAGGAGGGACTGAAATAAGACAAGAAGAGGGGCTGAAATAAGACAAGAAGAGAAGCTGAAACAAGACAAGAGGCGGGGCTTAAATAAGACAAGAGGAGGGGCTGAAATAAGATAAGAGGAGGGGCTGAAATAAGACAAGAGGAGGGGCTGAAATAAGATAAGAGGAGGGACTGAAATAAGACAAGAGGAGGAGCTGAAATAAGATAAGAAGAGGGACTGAAATAAGACAAGAGGAGGAGCTGAAATAAGACAAGGGGAGGGGCTGAAATAAGACAAGAGGAGGCGCTGAAATAAGACAAGGGGAGGGGCTGAAATAAGACAAGAGGAGGGGCTGAAATAAGACAAGGGGAGGGGCTGAAATAATACAAGAGGAGGGACTGAAATAAGGCAAGAGGAGAAGCTGAAACAAGACAAGAGGAGGGGCTTAAATAAGACAAGAGAGGGGCTTAAATAAGATAAGAGGAGGGGCTGAAATAAGACAAGAGGAGGGGCTGAAATAAGATAAGAGGAGGGACTGAAATAAGACAAGAGGAGGGGCTGAAATAAGATAAGAAGAGGGACTGAAATAAGACAAGAGGAGGAGCTGAAATAAGACAAGAGGGACTGAAATAAGGCAAGAGGAGAAGCTGAAACAAGACAAGAGGACGGGCTTAAATAAGACAAGAGAGGGACTGAAATAAGACAGATAAGCTAGATAAATACAACAGTATATCATCATTGAAATGATTACTAGTTATTTAGTTAAGTAATTGTTATCTTATATAATTGTGTTCAGTTATTTTCATGATCAGATTCTACTCACTCTGAAATATGTCTTTGATAATCTCCATCAGGAGGTGTTGACAGGAACAGATGTAATTTAACGTCTGGTTTTAACATTAAATACCCCGGCCATGTCTGACTGACAGTAAAAATAGACTGAGATACATTCCCTTCCCAATGCATCTTCATTTCTTTATGTAAATATCTACAAAATAACATTAACGTAAATTTTAATAAAAAAAAATAAACGAAAAGCATTTGAGAAGAACAAATAAATAAACTGTTAAAGGTAAAATACAGTAATTAATGATATTTTGATGCTAATATTTGCAAAGAAAAAAAAACATATTAATGAATGCTTTATTAACACTTTATATAATATCTTTTTCCATCGCTGGCGTTAGATTGCCATGTTAAATTGACGTTGTTAATCATGAGGTGGAAGAAGGGAATCAGTGTGTTGCGCATGCATAATACCGAATTGCCTTATTGTCTAAAACATAATGCTTAATGCTGGGTTTTATGTGAGTATTATCAACAAAATTTAAAACAATACTTACTTTAATAAAGACTGTCTGGCTATAACTAAAATTTAAAACAATACTTACTTTAATAAAGACTGTCTGGCTATAACTAAAATTTAAAACAATACTTACTTTAATAAAGACTGTCTGGCTATAACTAAAATCTAAAACAATACTTACTTTAATAAAGACTGTCTGGCTATAACTAAAATATAAAACAATACTTACTTTAATAAAGACTGTCAGGCTATAACTAAAATCTAAAACAATACTTACTTTAATAAAGACTGTCTGGCTATAACTAAAATCTAAAACAATACTTACTTTAATAAAGACTGTCTGACTATAACTGAAATCTAAAACAATACTTACTTTAATAAAGACTGTCTGGCTATAACTGAAATCTAAAACAATACTTACTTTAATAAAGACTGTCTGACTATAACTGAAATCTAAAACAATACTTACTTTAATAAAGACTGTCTGGCTATAACTAAAATCTAAAACAATACTTACTTTAATAAAGACTGTCAGGCTATAACTAAAATCTAAAACAATACTTACTTTAATAAAGACTGTCTGGCTATAACTAAAATCTAAAACAATACTTACTTTAATAAAGACTGTCTGACTATAACTGAAATCTAAAACAATACTTACTTTAATAAAGACTGTCTGGCTATAACTGAAATCTAAAACAATACTTACTTTAATAAAGACTGTCTGACTATAACTGAAATCTAAAACAATACTTACTTTAATAAAGACTGTCTGGCTATAACTAAAATCTAAAACAATACTTACTTTAATAAAGACTGTCAGGCTATAACTAAAATCTAAAACAATACTTACTTTAATAAAGACTGTCAGACTATAACTAAAATCTAAAACAATACTTACTTTAATAAAGACCGTCGGGCTATAACTAAAGCT